CTACTCACTACTCACAACTCACAACTCACTACTCACTACTTAATACTGACCACTCTCTACTCGCTACTCCCTACTCACTACCCACTACTCACTACCCACTTCTCACTTCTCACTACCCCCTACTCAATACTCCCTATTCAATACTCACTACTCACTACTCACTACTCACTACTCACTACTCGCTACTCCCTAGTCGCTACTCCCTACTCACCACTCACGTTTGTCTACCCCGTCCTCACTACTCACTACTCACAAAGCCCTACTCGCTACTCACTACTCACTACTCACTACTCCCTACGCGGTACTCACTTCTCACTACCTACTCTCCACTATCCACTAATCACTACTCACTACTCACTACTCACTACGCACTACTTCCTACTCACTCCTGACTCCTCACTACTTCCTACTCTATACTCACTACTCACTACTAATTACTCACTATTCACTACTAACTACTCACTACTCACTACTCACTCCTCACTACTCGCTACTCTCTACTCACTACATTCTACGCACTACTTACTCACTACTCACTATGCACTACCCAGTACTCACTACTCACTACTCACTACTCACTACTCACCACCCACCACTCACTACCCACTACTCACTACTCACTACTCACTACTCTCTACCCCCTACTCATGAGTCACTAGTCATTACTCAGTACTCACGACTCACTATTCACTACTCGCTACTCACTAACAACTAATCAATATTCACTACTCACTATTCCCCCTCCCCCCCTTTCCCGGTCCGCCGTCGGGACCCCCCCCCTTCCCTTTCAAAAGGGAGGGGGGTCCGAACCCCCCCCTCCCTTCCAGCGCCAAGAGGGGGAGGGGGGGGGTCTGGAACCCCCCCGCTCTTCAAGGGAGGGGGGGAGGGGGGAGTTCTGAACCCCCCCCCCCCCTTCAGGGGGGAAGGGGGGGGGGGGTCGAAAATCTCACCCCCCCTTTGAAGGGGGGGAGGGGGGGGGAGGGCTCTGCGAGCACACAACACACCCTTTTCAATTACAGGGTGATCCAGTGGCGCGCTTTCGTAGGCTGGGGGCCTAATAACACAGTTTGGTGAAACCAATATTTCCCTGATAGTTTAAAGGAACAGGGTGCGAGCCCTGGGAGGGGCGCCTCGATCGAAAAAAAACAAGGGTCACCGAAGGAGAGCTGATCAACAATCATTCCTCAACCAGTGTTTGCACTGAAGGGGTCCTAGCGGAGATTGGAAGATTTGGCGAAAGTGCCGGGCCGATTTCGTTAGGCGGCTGGGTTCCCAGGTTCCCGGTTCCCGGTTCCCCGGTTCCCGTTTGCTGGTTCTGTGCCGATTTTGGTGGGCGGTGGGGTTCGCTGTTTTCTGGATTCCCAGGTTCCTGGTCGATCTCCATATGGATCGGTCTCACCATGGATCCCATTACCCTCCTCTCTATCGATCTCACTACCGAGCTCACAATCGATCCCACTACCGATCTCACTATAGATCGCACGAGCGATCTCAAGATCGATCTAACTATCGATCTCACTGAATCGACTTCACTATCGGTCCCACGATCGAACTCATTATCGTCCTCACGATCGATCCCACTATCGAGCCCACTATCGATCTCACAATCGATCTCAATATCCATCTCACTAGAAGTCAAACCATCTGCTGGTTGGGTTTTTTCTCTGGTGTGATTGTTTGTCAGAGCTGAGAATTCAACTAACGACAAGCAACAAATAACAAAAATTCAGCCCGCAGAATCACACTTCAGCCACGCACCCCGGGACAATGAATGGCCGTTCGGTCCCCTCACCTTGACCGACATCCATATGCTTCGGTACTGCTCATGTTAGCTCGCGCGCGTGTCGTCCGCGTCACGAGCCAAGTGAGATGAGATCGCGAAGCAGATCCCCAACCCTAGCCGAAAGGGGTGACAGCCCATGCTGCACTATGCAGCACTTCACATCTCTGGGGGCAATGCCCTCCTCGCTTCATGTGAATCACGAACGAGTGTGCTGGCTGCTTCGGCCTCCGGGATGCCCCTCCTGGGCCCTGGGGCTGCCAACGCACAACGACTCGTGATGAAAAAACGGTCCTTGGGAAAGGTTCCAGAACTTGAGGCTCTATGCTGCGGAGGAAGAATGACGTCTGGGATCTGGGAGGTGAGGCGCCGAGCGGCAGCGTGGCCACGGGCAAGGCTGCCTCTCCCAGAAGAGCCCAAGCTGCCTCGCCGACGCCACCGCTCTGACCCCACCGCCACCCCAGAGGCCCGTCGGCGCGATGTCCCCCCAGGGCCCCATCCCCTCTCCCCTCAGCTAATCGCCCCCCCAAACCCACACTCTGGGGCGCCGCCGCGCCATGCTATGTCATGCAACGCGCCCCATCTTCAGCACCACGCTATGCCATGCAATGCTACGCCGCGCTGCGGCATCCGGCTGTGCGAGCAGATCTACGCCATGGCAGGGGATGGGAGGAAGGGGTGGGACGTCGGATGTGACGCGAGCGCACCAAGTTTGGCTCATCCCCCTCTCCCTCCCCCCTCCCTCCCGTCCCCGCCCACCGCCAGCCCTTGCCAACTCCGTGCTACGAAGGGCGTTCGCGCAATCAAGCCACCCTGATATTCCGCGTGGCTCCTCTCACCATACCTGTTTCCACCACCCAAACAAAAAACGCGGAGCTACTGAATTGTCGCTTTCAACGTTACGAGTGGCGCAGCGCCCCAAGCCGAATACTGAATATGTGGGTGAAGGTGGACGCCCTGATCTTCGTGGAAAAATGCATTCTGGACTCGCAGCATCTCTCCGCATGCTCGGGCCAAGAGTTTACGCTCCAGTACAAGATGCACTTCTCTCTGAGCTATGATTGCCCCACCTGTGAGATCGAATGCAGTCTGGCACAGCAACCAGCAACAGCATACACGAAATCCAACCCTGGAATGGTGATCCTAATAGGGACTGCTGGTAAGTACCTGAGCTTTTCCAAGACCTCTATGTGCAGGAACCCCTGGGCAAGTCCAACAGCTTGCCCGAAAAGGGCACAAATCTTACAGTTGGGAAGACCTGTTGTACGCTTCCTCGCGGCACATAACTTACATCCCAACCTTGGAAATCTTCCCCCCCTCCGGCCCCGCTATCCACGCCGTAATCGACGCAATCCGAGGCCACCCGCTACCATAGAGACCTCCTAGATGGGGTCGGATTACATGGGGTCGGAGGATCTCGCCGCATCGGCGATGCATCGGCGATGCATCGGCGATGCATCGGCGACGCCGGCGTGGGGAAACACAGGCTCCACATCGAGCCGCGTCGCCGATGCATCGGCGATGCGGCGCGATCCTGCGCCCCCATCTACTCCGACCCCATCGAGGAGGCTCAGCTACCATCCGTGGTCATCCGTGCTGTCCGAAGCCATCCAGGCCCATGCGGGCGCCGGACCGTGGAGAGGGTGTCAAAACAGAGCGGCTCGCCACCACTCGCCCTCCGCTCGGCCGCTCCCTCCCCTGCGGCCCTTCACCGCCCCCCCCCGCCCCCCTCTGCAGAGGAGTACCCCTTCCAGCCCGCGCCCCTGCTCCCCACAGACCTCTTCCTCCCCCTGCCCCCACCCCTCCGACGCCGTGCTTCGTGCTCACGACGTGGGCCCGTGGAACTCTCGACGGCGTCCCCGCCGCCAGCCTTTCCTCCCAGATCTTCTCTACAGGCACTGCCTCCCAGCTGTTCCTCCGGCTTTCCCTCCAGCTTTTCCTCCCAGATCTTCTCTGCTGATCTTTCCTACGGATATGTTCCTCCAGGTTTTCTTCCAAAACACGGCCTCCTCTAGAGACCCGAACTGAAGAATAAGGTACCGTCTGGATTTCTCTCTCACACCGCCCCCCGCCAGCAGGGGTCCTGTGTTCCAGGCTGACACTCCCCACGTGTGCTGCATATGTTTCGAATTCCGGTGGCGCGTCGCCATCGCGCGCGATGGCGACGCGCGCACTGTCGTCGCTGTTCAGGGCAGCATTTGGGGCACACGGGGCCACGAAGCGCGCCAAGCAGTGCCCCACAAATCGTTCCCGACATCTCGTTCTCCCGAGAGGCGCGCGGCCGGCGCGCGCCCACCCCTGGATCGGGCGCCCGCGCGGCGCTGGCATCCCGCGTTTTCACTGCCCCTGTGCTGGGGCCCTTCGCTGAGATGGACCACCTGACACCCTGCGCCGGGCCCCTCCGCTGAAGCCCTGCGCCAAGGGCCCGCTGCGCTGCGATGGGCCGGGCGCCCCGAGCGGAGGTCTCGCGATTTCAGACGTGCGGGCCGCCCCCATCCCTTCTGTAGCCCTCCCCATACAGCCTCCGCGCGCAGGCAGATCGAGCACACGGCCCTGCTCAACTCTCTGCCACCCTCTCCCGTTCACAGGGTCGCCGACCATGCAACCTGGGCCCGAAGTTCGAGCATGCCTCTCTCGACGACCGGGTCCGAGGTCGGAGAACTGAGCCTGGCGATCACCTTGCCTGCCGCCCACGACACCCTGCGCGCCCCGCGCGCATCAGGCAGGGGTGCCGAAGAGTGAAGGGGCACCTGGGACCCCCTCCTAAAAGAGGGGGTCCCAGCTCTGCCCCGAGAACTCCGCGAGGACCTCTGACGGTCTGTGCTCACGCCCGTTGGTCGACCCTCGGCTCTGAGTCCGCGTCAGACTGCATCTCCACCCCACGATGATATGAAGGGGCCCCAGGACACACAAATAAATACACACAAATAAAAATGTTGCCCATATTTTCCCTTATTTTCTGGGTTTTTGTCTTCCCCCCCACTTCCCATATTTTCCCATATTTTCTGGGGAGTCGACGATTAATTGTGTCTGTGTGTTTCTTTCCCTCCTGATGAAAGACAAGCGCGTTCCACTGCTCGCAAAGTAGCTGCTCGCAAACGGCCTGGATCCGCCGCGGGGGCTCTACGGTCCATTGCATAGAGGAAGACATGCTTCTGCTCGGACGCTTGTGAGTAGGCACTCTGCAAGTCGCGGAACGCGCTCGGTGAGATGAGCGGGCCTCTGCTCGTAGTGGTCCACCCAGCCCTGCCAGAGCACGACGGCGTCCTCGGGCTTTGCGGGTGCGCGCACGGGCCTGCCCTCCCACAGGCACCTGCGCGCCAAGGGAGCCGGATACCCTTTCCAGCGGTCCAAGCAACCACCCCCGTCTCGCCTCCTACGGCAGGTCCGCGTCGCGATGACGTCGGCTCTGCTGTCTGACGTCGTGTGGATCGTTCGAGCTTGAACGATCGCAGCTCGTCCGATATCGTTCGATATCGAATGATACTGGGCATATTCCGCCCATATCGGCCGATTCCAAGGCACCGGCTGCGTTTGACATCGAACGCCCGCGATATGGGTCGCCGCCGCGCTGTCGCGGCATGAACCTATCGTGCTCCAAGTTCCAGTGGACGCCACATGCTGACAACTCAAGCCATCTCCGAGGCAGCGTGGGCTCTTGCGTAGCGTGCTCGGGCGCCCCGCGATGGGTGAAGAGGGCCCCGAGAGGCCCCCAGGACGGTCCAAGAGACGCCCCGAGACGGGCCCCAGGATCGCACCAAGACGCACAAGATGGCCCCCAGACGGCCCCAGGAGGCCTCAGAGACGCCCCGCCAGGGTCCACCCCGAGCCGTCCCAAGAGGGCCCCCTCCCTCCCATCTGGTCTCTCGCTGGGCTCTTGCCACCAGCCGGTGCTCCCCAGGGCATCCTGGTGCAGCAGAGCGAGATGACCAGCCTGGGTAGTCGAAGCCAATCTGGCGCCAATCTGGCAGGCCCAATCTGGCAAACGGGGGCAATCTGGCGAGGGAGCCAACGCGAATCCAGTCTGGCGAATAATCCAAATCCTCCAATATGGCCAGGCCAGATTGGCCCTTGGGGCCCAATCCAGTCTGACAGTCTGGCCTTCGACTACCCAGCCAGCGCCTCTGAGGCCCCGTTGGGGAGCGCTTGGCCTCGAGAGCTCTCCCGCCTCGCTCGGCGGGTGGGGGCGATCCTTGACGAGCCCCTCGAGGGAGGGGAGAGCCACCCTCGACAACCACACCACCACCACAACACCACCACCACCACCACCACAACCCACCACCACCTCCACAAATCACCGCACCACCACCAAACCACCACCACCACCACCCACTGCCACAACCACCACCACCACAACAAACCACCACACCACCACCACCACCACAACCACCACCACCACCGCCACCACCAACGGGAGAGTGGGCGCGACCGCCAGAAGCCGAGGTCTGCCAAAGAGCGCGCCCGCGGACCCTTCACTGCCTGGAGGCAGAGGCCTGCCGTGCGGCCTCGCATCGTGGAGCCCTGCGAGTCCCGCAGCGGCAGCCCGGAGACAGCCGACCGACCGCGCCAACCAATTGCAACACCCTCAGGTTCCTGGTTCTGGGGCCATGAGACACCAGATACAGGGTTCCCGCTTGAGCGGAGCCGTCTCATGTCGGGCGCGCGTGGGCAGGTCAAGGGCGCATGCTTGTGTGTGCGCTATCGGTCGCCTCACCCTTCTTGTTCCCATCACCTTTATCCCTCTCCCCCTTCTTGCCGAAAGGGGATCGGCTGGGACCAAAAAACCTCGTAGTAAAGTGAGCGTGTGCCACGCGCACGCTTTCAGACACAGCATGTTTTGATAGTTCTCGGCTCAGGGAATGTCCAACCAAAGAGTGATGTGAACCATCGGCCCGCGGCGCAAACCGACTCATTTTGAAAGTACAACAAAAGTGGATCGGCAACGCCTGGGATCACCATCACATCGTGGCAAGCAGGTGCAGGGAAAAGCTTCTACGTCGGTTGCCCCGCTGGCTGAGTCCTCGCTGCTCGAGAAAAATCGCCGCTCCCAGGTCGCGTTCCGAAACCAGGTGCTCCTGGCCCGCAGGATCTGGATCCCTGCGCCCGCGACATTCCTGGGCCTCCGCGCGTCACCTCGAGGCCTGCCAGTCCCCCCTCCGCTCCACGCGTCGCCCTTGCGCTGACACAAGCGCGCGCCCGGCCGACCACGGCCAGCGAGCGAGCAGCCACCGAGCGCGGCAGCTCGAGGATTTGGACACCCGAAATGGGCACGGAAAAAATGGGCGCAATGCCCAACAACAAATGTTGTCCCAAACCAACAGCGGCCGCTGCTGGGCAGGCGGCCTCCTGTCTCGAATGGGCACAGGCCGCGGCGACACCGACGGCGAGTCCTGTTCAAAATGAAGAGGAGCCGCGGTTGGGCATCGTACCCATTCCTTCCGTGCCCATCTCGTTCGTGCAGAGAGGAGAGGGGGGGGAGGGGGAGAGAGGAGAGAGGAGAGGGGGAGAGGAGAGGGGGGGGGGGGGAGGAGGAGGAGAGGGGGGGGGGAGGGGGGGGGAGAGAGGGGAGGGGGGGGGGAGGGGGAGGAGAGAGGGGAGGAGAGAGGGGGGGAGGGGGCTGGAGTGGGAGGAGGCCGACCCCTCCCGAGCGCGGTGCCCCGCACGCTCTGGCGGGGCGGGGCAGACGCGCGGGGGGCCCGCGGCGACCTCTGGGGAGATCCGTGGCCGCACGGGCCGCCCGAGCACACTTTTTGTTGATCCGCGGGTCGATCGGGGAAGGACAGACCCCCCTTTAGTAACACGTGGTTTAGTGAAAGCGACCTGAGGCCCAAACCTGGCGGGCGCAGGCCTGGAAAACAACGGCCACGGCGCCCTCTCGAGAACCGAAAACGCACAAGTCACTCATCGGCGTGTCACTGTTGGGGGTTCTGTCCGCCTCCGGGTCGAGAGCGCACCTCTTCCGGTCGAAGCTAAGCGGGCCGCGCGAAGCTTGAATTAGGCGGAGAAGAGGAGGGAGGAAGCGGCGGAGCCTCAGAGCGAGGCCGCGAGGAGGAATAGCCTCAGTAGCCCGAGCACACTCCAGGCACTGATTCTCCGAGGTGGCCCCTCCAGGGCTCCCCTCTGTCGGAGCACGTGCGGGTGTCGGTGCACATGGCAGCACATCACGGGCACGCCTTCGACGCCCTCCCCCCGCCTCCCTGCGCAGGGGGCGCCCGAGGCCTCGGGCCTCCCGTCAACCTCCCGCCCCCCACCCTGTGCGCGCAGGGAGCCCTCCCCCCCTCGGCCTCGTGGGGAGCTCGAAGCTCTTGAGACACTGCCGTGGCCCCGAGAGGGCAGGGCTCCCCCCCGGGCGCCTGGAGTGTGATGTGACTAGGGCAACGAACAGTAGAATAACATAACAACTCGGAGGTCCGCGCGGATTTCTCGAAACGGCGCTGGGGGCCTCTGGCGCCGCCCCAGGCGCGCTCCGCGCGCCATGGAGGGGGGTCCAGCGCCGATCCGAGAAATCCGCGCGGACCTCCGAGTTGTTATGTTTATGCCACATTTTCTTCCCCTACCGACGGGAGCATCAAAAGGGAAGGGCCTGGCCTCTCCTTGTCCTCCCCCTGGACCCCCTGCATGTAGCGAGGCGCTGGAACGGCCGCCCGCGACCGAACACACACCTGACCTCGGGGGCGTCCAGCAAGAGGGGGGCGTCCAAGAGGGGGGGGGGGGGGCGCAAGTCACGGCCGGCGGCATGTGCGCAGCCTGGGGGCTGGGGACGCACTGAAACAAGAAGAGGCGCCAAGACATCTGGGGGGGGTCTCGCGGCCCCCGCCGCGATATCCACCCCCCCCCCAGTCGTCACCCCCCTCGCGGCTCCGGCCCGTGGCCCCCGATGGCCCCCCGCCCCAGACCCCCGACGTCATGATTTGTTCTCTGCGTCGCTCCCCGGAATTATCGACCCCTTTCCCCAGGACCAGCTTCTCATCCCGAATCGTTTTTTTGGCGGCCCCGAGGGCCGGGAAGGGCCTCCCGAGGCCGAGAACACGGGACAACCTCCCGTCATGATGTGTGTCCCACGCATGCTTCTCTCTTACGAAGAGTAGCCCACCGCGCTCTCTTCTGCCGACGCGTCCTGCCGGATGCTTGGCTTCCTTGACTGACTTGACTGCCCGAGGGGGTCTAAGAGCCCAGACCCCCGACGTCGTGATTTTTTCACAACGTCGACCCCCAGCGGTCTGGACCCTTTCCCTGGGGCCAGCTTTTCATCCCGACGCGTTCTTCGACTGTCCCGAGGCCCGGGAAGGGCCCCCGGAGGCCGAAAATATCGAAAAACCGCCCGTCGTGATTTTTTCACGACGCCAGGGGGTCTGGGAGTCTTGACCGCCCCCTGATGGACCCCCCCCGATGCTCCAGCCCGTGGCCCCCGACGGCCCCGTCGCGCGCCGCCGAGCGGTGCGGGCGCTCGCGCAGGGGATGCCGCCGCGGGGAGTTTTTTTGCTGCGAGAACTCGCCTGGCAGACCCCTGCCACAGCCAGCCTTCCTTGCTGGCGGTGGATGGGGGCACGCTGCAGAGCAGGGCTGAACCTGAACGCTGTGTTTCGTTTTCGTTTTGCTTTCGTTGTCCCTCGCTTTGTCTTCGATCCGCCTTTTTTTTACCGCAGAACGACATCGAACCGAAAACGGCCCACGAAAGCCCCAAAAGCACCGCTTGGGTCCAGCGCCCTGCTGCAGAGGTGCCTCGCCCCTCCCCGCCCAGCTCCTCCTCCTCCTCCTCCTCCTCCTCCTCCTCCTCCTCCTCCTCCTCCTCCTCCTCCATCCTCCTCCTGCTCCTCCTCCTCCTCCTCCTCCTCCTCCTCCTCCTCCTCCTCCTCCTCCTCCTCCTCCTCCTCCTCCTCCTCCTCCTCCTCCTCCTCCTCCTCCTCCTCCTCCTCCTCCTCCTCCTCCTCCGCCCCGGCGAAAAAAAACTGGGGTCGGAGGGCTCGCTCCCAGAAGGCGGCGCCTTCCCAGGGCAGCAGGGAGAGCGGGGGGCAGCGGGAGAGACCAGGCGGGCAGGCGGCGCCGCCCCGCCCTAGGGGCGGGGAGGGCCGCGGCAGAGCGGGCGGGGCAGAGGGAGAGCGGACGCCCCGCGGGGGGATCCAGGCTCGAGGACCGAGGGTCGACGATGGAGGCTCGAGGATCGAATCGACGGTCGAGGTCCCAGGCTCGAGGAGCATCGAGGCCCGAGGGCCGAGACCTCGGTCGGGACGTCGTGGTCTTGTAGGGGGGGGGAGGATCCAGGCTCGAGGACCGAGGCTCGACGATCGAGCTCGGAGCATCGAGGCTCGAGGC